TGACAACATGATGGATATGTCCAGGCTCGATCTCTGGTCATACCCGTCTGACAGCATCCGAGTACTTTCCAATTTCCAACAAGAAAGTGCTTGTGCACATCCCTCAGAGCCAGCCACACTTGCAATAAGGCTGATTGCCAGTGGAAGATTCCCTGTGAGTTCCAGGAGTTCTTTGATGTTGGCTTCATCATGGCCATCATCAGAAACATCAATGAAGGTCTGCTGAGCAGCCACAGTGGAAAGTGGCTTCAGAGGGGCCAGAAAGGGGTGGGTCCATTTGACTTTGCTTGGTCGCTCAGCACCTCTTACAGTGATCTACAGCAAGTTCAAAATAGTATTTGATGAACTCAACGAACCCACCCACCATGAGTCCCAAATGAGGCACATCAGTCAAGAGAGATAGAAACTCTTCAACCTCATGGCGAGATGCAAGGGCTTCCCAAGGGGTCTCCAGATTGTCAAGGACCAAAAGGGAAGGAGGAGCATAAGCAAAGTAATGTGCAATCTTTTTTGCCATGTTTGAGCCCTTCTCTAAACCAATATGATTTGCAATGGTTGCTGCCAGCTCTGTGCAAGTGGGGCTCGAGTGGCATGGAACAAAATATCGATGTGAATACCTGGCTTCCACTTGTGGATTATAGAGGGCTGCTGTGGCAAGACTGGTTTTTCCCATACCACCTGTACCCAAGATGGCAATGCGGGCCAAATCTTGCACTAGGATATTCACCACATCCTGGAGCTCTGTTTCACGGCCATGAAAGATTTGTGGGCAGGGTGGAAGTAGACCAAAGGATCCCGAGCTGTCCAAGAACTTTAGGAAGATGGAGTGTATTTGCAGGTTTCACTCACCTATTATTCCCTAAGCTTGAAAGAGTTCCCGTCACCTAACACCCATGAGCAGAGACTGTTGTGGTGATAATTTCTGCTCACTGAGGAGTGATCAGAAGTGGAGAGGTCAGAATGAGTCTCCAAAAGGGCAACAAGCTGTTCATGTTGTTCCTTGGCATCTTTTTTCATCTGCCCAATTTGTGACAAGGTTGAACTTGTAACTTGAGCCTGCAATGGATGCCAATGATTTAAATATGCATTGAAATCGAATTTGCTTGATATACCTTGAATAATTCAACCATCCTGCTGAGCTCCAGCTTGCACGTTTCTAATCTTTCTGCAGCCTCAAGCTGTCTGAAGAGTCCCTTTATTATTGCCAGGGTGCCCTTTTGTTTCCTGTTGAGAACTGTGTACAACTTTTCAAGTGTACTGGTTTAAATCATCAAATCAGTCCAATATCATCATTAAATGATACTCACTGTGCAAATTTTGCAATGTCATATAAGAGTGCCATTGGAAGGACACCCTTGATTTCTGAAGTTGAATGAAGCTGGACAATGATACAGAGAATTTCATGAATCTTCTCCACAATCTCCGCATATTCTTCTTTGTTTGATCTGATCATCTATTGTTTTGTGTTAAATATGGTGCCAATGCCCAGAGGAATTGGCTTACCTCGAGAGACTTTATAATTGACAAAGACAATGAAGCTGTTGAGCTAAGGAAAGGCACTTTCACCATCTCTGAGATGTTCTGGGCAGCAGTTGCAGCCAGGATGGTATATTGGATAAGATTATTGAAATGCACTGTTGTACGCATGATGGGTATTGTTGAAGGGACGGGTGCTGGACATCTGTGCTTATATGTATATATTGCTATGTTCCTCCCACAGACATGCATTCTCAGCATCAGATGTGCAGGTTTATCGATGTACCTATCTTTCAATGTTCCGTACCAAAAAAAACTCTATGTTTCAAAACAAGTTGACAAGGTAGAGGTAAAGACATCAGCGTTGTGGGCTCATCCACCGTTACTCCACAACATCTGCGGGCTAAGCTTCTCGCGGGAGATGGAATCACAGCGGAAAGATCCTATCTCCATTCAGGTTTGAGGTGGCTCTTCCCGGGGAACAAATGCTAAAAATCGTCATGAAACCCTCATCAGGCTCTACACTGTTGACTGTCAATGATTTTTCCCATCGAATGCCCTCCAGCCTCGTACTTTTTAAACTGTCAGCTTCGTATATTTCATCCATATATTAGTTCTTTTGTGTCTTTTTTTTTTTTGGAAAAACAATTCTGATCATTTGGTCTGATTAGGGAGCCTACACTTCATCTATATCGACCAAAAGACAGTGCTCTTTGGGGATGAACATCAGAAAATCCGGGAAATCCTGTCATCCCCAACCACCCTTCCACGAATCACCGGGTTTGGATCTAGGTTGTAAGGCGCTGGCAGTGTCGTGCCTTCTGTGTATCTTACAAGATGTTCAACAGCTTGGTGAAGGCTATATAAAGGCCTCCAGGGCTCATAAAGGTATGTGCCGCTTATAAGCCTTAGGATAAATGAATACTCAAAACCCTCTTATTCAGATGTGTTGGGACGAATATTTTTCAGGAACGATCAGCCACCAGGCTTGTTTGTTTATCAGCAGATAATATTGACCTAGAATGTAAATATTATTATGAACATCTCCTGAGGACATGGCGTTGGGCGGAGTATTCAATTGAGAGCAGAGATTCTGGCCTATCATATTGAGATGCGAGCGCAGTACCCCAGCGGCAGCTGGAGATCATAAATGCGGAATCACCGGATTACTAACTTTACAAAAATATCAATCCTTGCGGTAAAGATTTCCATCTATCCCGCTTTTCAATTATGAGTGCGGGACAGGCGGTATGATAAGTGCGGGAGAAGCTGTAGGAAGGCACCCACGTAACGGTTTATCACGCCCTGGAACTATTGGCACCGCGAGGAGTGCGGACGAAGAACGCACGCAACAATAGGCGCCGCCGATATGAATTGAGGCTGAATGATTGAATATTAGCTCGCCTGCGGATTGATCGCACAACATTCCATATTTTCCGTTTAATGTCCGTGAAACATTTATTTCCATTGCAGCTTTCCACACGGGTCGAAAATAATGAATTATTGCAAGTATTTTGGCGCATCCCTTGCGAATTTGACGCGTCATTCGCCAAATTGACGCGCCTCAAGCCTTTTAGACGCGTCGCCCGCTAACCTTACCTCTGGAAAATCCCGGAATGTTTTAAGTGGGTGTGCCCTTTAAACCTATGCTCTATTTCCGTATTTCCGTGCCTCCATCTAAGCCAGGTTTGGCAGTCGCAAGGAGTAGGAGGACTTCAAGTGGGGTGTGTCCTTCAAACCATTCCTTTTCCTGGTTCCTATTTATGCTTCCATCACTTGCATAAATGTCGGTCCAAGCGTGGTGTAGCAGCCTTAAGGAGTACGAGTAGCCGTAGGTTTCTTAATTCCAATAGGACTTTTGTGACTCCAGCCACGCCTCTTGACAAAATCAATACAACGGTCTGGATAACAAATAATCCAGGAAACACACTCTGCCCCTGTCCAAAACCCAAAGATTTTCTCCGCGCCATTTTCCCGTGGCCTAGAAGCAAATAACGAACTGCGGCCTCAAGGTCCGTGCATGCACGAAAAATCATAAAGGTAGGGCGCGGGGACGACGGGGCGAAATTAGATTAGATTAGATTACAAACAAATATATTCGTATCTAATCCCCCAAAAAAGAGATGGAGGAAGTGGGCGGATGGCAAAACAAATATATTCATACTGCATATGATATGAAGTAGTTAGAAGCGGTGGATAGAGCAGAGTCGGCTTGGCACGGACGGGAGATCGGGGCATGGATTGAGAAGGGGATACCCTCGCGAGCGGACGACCCCATTCTGCGTGCGCACGCATGGATGTACTCAGGAAATGTCTCCAGAAAGCAAAAGAAGAGAACAAAAGGAAAGCCCCATCGAAGCCGCAGCGCATGTAGAACGCCGAGCATGCCAGTGCTCATGCGCACAATAAAACTAAGGCGGCGCATCAAATGGGCAGTTTTGGGATGGGGGAGGGGGAGAAGAAGAGGATGGTGTGCTGAAGAAAGCGAGCGAAAATCGAAGAGCAGGCACGCTAAACAGAAAGAGGCAACAACTCCTCTGTTCCATTCCATGCAGGTGTGCGACCCCGAAACCGAAACCACGACGCGAGACGCGAAAACCAGGAAGAAGCGTCGCTCACTTCATTATTCTTATTTCGAACGCGCCGAAACACGCGTAGAGAAAGAATGGAAGAAGAACCAAGGAGCGGCGCACCCCAGGGCTGGCTCGCCATGTCCCAGGCGAAATCCGAAAGACGGTCTCGTCGGGAACATCTGAAAGATGGCCGCGTCGCTCTCCCCACAGGCTACTCTCGGCGGGCGATGAAATGACCCCGAAGGCGAAGCGTCCCGCCCAACGACAACAGGAAAAAACCCCGGAAATTAAACGAAAAGCAGAAAGCGCATTCACCTGCCGCTGCGTGGCCGCGCCAAAATGGCCCTGCGCGGGCGAGGAGCGTGAGGACGCGCCAAATTTGCTTGCAGAGGTCGTGGAAGAGGGCGGGGCGGGGCGATGTCCTCGCGGCGCAGGAGCGCGAGACAGGCATCACTAACAATTACATGTTTGCTGGACCGAGGAAGTGGACGTTCGAATCCTCCCAACTTGGTACTATGGATCGTCCTTTTTCTATTAGTACTACCGGACCTATTTTTTATTAGAATCGGACAGAATCTTCCAGGATCCATAATATATTTAAAAGACACCAACCTCAGGCACGATAAAACTTAATTCAGTGAGGTAGCTCGACAAACCAAGTGTGCTGAACGTTAAACAGCCAGCTGCGTCCGCATAGTCCGTTGGTATGTATTTTTTTTTTTGGCGTTCCTGCGCTTCAATATTGGGCACTTATTTCCCCGTTCAATATTGCTGCAGGTGAACTTGTTCCAATCGTCCGCGGTAATGTGATGGTTCGTTCGCTCCGACCTGAATAAATATGTCCTGCATAAATAATAGGAATCTCATTCAGGTGCTGTAGATCAAACACACCTACCTGAAATTTCGGAGCAGGGAGAGCAAAAATAAATAAATAACAAGTCTCCCTGGCCATGCGGAGGCAGGGAGTCGAACCCCGGTTGCTGTCTGAATTCCGAACATAAGCCTTATGATTAACAGCTGTGCACCCTGCACCACGTCCGCTTAAGTCCCTTCAGTCGCCTGTGATGTTTGTTTGAATGTAGTGCACCTGTACAAATATTCTTGATACTTACCGGCGAGCAGCAGAATTACTGTAAAGGACTGCGAACGAAGGACTAATAGAAGTGCGTTCAGGCGCAGGAAATGTCAATCGCAGCACCTACCTGAGAATGCGAAGCAGGAAAAGCAAAAAAAAAAAAAACCTGGGAGTTTACCACTATGTGGAAGTGGTATGACAGTATTTATCACAGAATATTACGTGGTAGTTGGTTTGTACATTGTAGTTGATGAATGTATTCAATTCTGAACAACCGTACTGCCAAGTTGAACTTTCGGTTTGATGTGGTGTGTTGTGTGTGCATCATGTAAGTGCACACCGAATGTCCTCAGGTGACCTTTGTGGTCGTGGGGTGGTTCAAGACGGGGTTACCTCCGATAAAATTAATCCCATCAGTGCTGATGTGTCGCCCATGACTCTTAAACCACTGGACACCCCATCACTGCAGCCTGTGATCTCGGCCACTCGACTACACACCTAGCTGTGGGTTCAAGTCACTTCAAGATGAGGGCCTAATAAATTCGCCTTTATCGTGTATTTTAGTTCACTCCTGTTCAAATTTCCCAAGGCATTTTTTATTCACATTATCCTTAATTCGATTCAATGGCGACCAATAATGTTGGATATATATAGATTCACAGTGGATGAGTTTGAGTTCAACGTTGGCTACATCGTGATGTGATGTTGAATCTTTTTCGCCGCTTGAAAAAAGTTATAGGCCATGCTAATTATGAAATTTGGTCGTGTTGACCAAGATCTGCCTGGAGATTGATGAATGGGCGATACAAAATATTTATATCACCCAATTGCAATGTAGAATAAAGTTTGAAATTAGGATCAGTTATTTGAACAAACTATATTAACTGCATTGTTTCTGCCCACAAAGCTTCTATCCTGGTGTTTTGAACCTGCTTTATGTACACATAATTCAAAGCATAGCTCTCTACCGTTCCCGAAGGTGTAGTTTCATGTCCGGAATCGGGCTAAACCGGGCAACAAAAGGGAGGTTAAATATGCTCGCTTATATCATGGATCTGAGGCCTACTCTGGTTCAAATCACTTCTAGAATCCGCAGAATTAAGTGTGGTGTCGAAGTTCTGAGGGGATCTGGAATAATTAGGGTGATAGAACCAGCCAAACTGACATCTATTAATTTCTTTACAGTTGCTTCTACTTCTTGTGGGGCAGACATCCTTCTTTCTCAGGACTGTCTCCCGTTTGCGCCTTTGAAACAACATGGCTGTGGGATGTGTTGCATGACAGTTGATGGCTGGATGGGTTGATGGGTGAGATATATGGACTGATGGGTGAACACGATGGGCTGAAGGTCTGCCCATGCAAGTATCCATTTTGGGACCGCCATCAGTCAGTGTGTGTCATGGTTCATGAAGTACGGAATTACCATTAACAAGCATGTGCACGATGTATGTATGACAATCCACGGAAGCAAGAGTAATGTCACAGTCAAGACTCAATCTCGTCCACTCTCGGTAAGATGAGAGGGATTGGGTAGTGAGATATGTAGAGCTCGAAAGATGATGGAATAAAAGGTTAACTACTACAAGCGAAACACTACTCTACTTATACTAAACGGTCGTAACCGTGTGAACTATGTACATATGGAAGCCTGGAAGTAAACGTCTCGTAGCCTCATGTCCGAATGTTCTTCAATGTTCCACAACGTTCTACAAGGATAAATATATCCGTGATGTCATACCTTGCCTTAACCGGCCATCTCCCAGTCTTCTCGGCTAATCCCGACATCGTTGTCGTCATCGATATATATAGTCTGGGCGCTTATGATCTTGGGCGTTAAGATAGGGGATGTCGGCGTTGTCTCGATTAGATTAGATTTGGCATCGAATCGTGACATTACCCCCCTCTTAGGGTCGACGTCCTCGGCGACCATGGTGAAAGCTCCCGTGTTTGGATTAAATAATTTCCGTTCTGGGTATGGTAACTTCTCCGTCTTTGTTTTGTATCGGCAAATGGTTTTGTCCCAAAATCCCTTCGGCAGGATCGGCACCGCACGTATCTGCAGATTGTGCTCGACATTATAACTGTCTAAGAGCTCCTGCACGTGCGTCAAATGCCTTCGTGGTTCCCACGTCCGTTCTCCCTTCGGGTAATTCTTCCATTTGATGAGGTATTGATAACCTCTGCCGCGTTTTCGGTGTTTTAAGATCTCCTCCACTTCGTACTCCTCAAATCCGCTGACTATCTCCGGTCCGGGTCGTTCTTCCCTTCGGTGTGCTGGTGGTTCCACATACGGTGTCAGCTTCGCCTCATTGAAGACCGGATGTGACAGGTCCGTCTCTGGGAGCTTTAGCTTGTATGCCGATGCGCCGACTTTCTCCAGGATTTTGTAAGGCCCTAGCCTTCGGTCGTCCAGCTTCTTCGTCGGCCGATCTGTGGTGATGTCTCGACCATCCAACCACACTTTATCGCCGACCTTGAACTCCGGCGCATCGCGCCTCTTCCTGTCGTACTGTTTTTTCATCGTTTTCTGCATTTTCTCCAGCGCAGCTGCCGCCTCGTCGCGGATCTTTTTCATTTTCTCGGCAAAGTCGTTCGCGGCCTTGTTGCGCGACTCGACTGCGTTTTCGATCCCTTTCCAGGGGTGGTATCCCGTGTTCGTGTAGAACGGCGACATGCTCGTCGAAGAGCTGGCTTTGTCGTTGTGTGTGAACTCGGCTAGTGCGAGCCACTCTGCCCAGTCCGATTGTCGATAATTTACAAATATGCGGAGATATTTCTCGATCTCCTGATTCATTCGTTCGGTCTGGCCGTCCGTGATCGGGTGGAACACCGTCGAGGGGTTCATTTCGGTCCCGAGAAGGCGATTTAGTTCCTTCATGAATCCCGAGACGTATCTCGTGTCTCGGTCCGAGATTATCTTCCGCGGTATCCCGTGATATCTAATCACCCGATCCCGGGTCAATCGGGCCACTCCCTCGCTCGTCATTTCCATCGTGGTCGGTTCGGTGTGGATCATCTTCGAGAATGTATCCACCCAAACTTGAATAGCGTTAAATCCGTTGCTGTCCGGCAACGGTCCGATCATATCCATAGATATTATCTGCCAAGGCCCCTCGGCGATCTTGTGAGGGTTCAGCTTTCCCTGCTGATACCGCTGCACTCGCGTTCTCTGGCACGCCTCGCAAGATTTTACATATTTGGAAACCTGGTTGCCTATCCTAGGCCACCAATAATTACGCTCGATCATCTCCTGCGTTCGGTTCTCTCCGGGATGACCAAGCATTGGGGGGTCGTGATGTAACCCGATAATTTTATCGCGAAGTTCCTCATTCCGGGGAACATATATAAGTCCATTATAATAGATAACTCCGTCTTTCTTCTCCCATGCTTGTAATTTTTTCTCGAGCGCAAGCTTGACGCTCTTGTCTATCTTTTTCTCCTTTATGATCTCTTCCAGTATCTCTGCCTCCGGCCCTTCGAGCGTTATGTCTTGTGCTCGGAAGTGGTCGGGTTTTAGCATCACGACATTTTTGTTGTCGTTTTTCCCCTGGTCGTGATCTGATCTCCGAGATAAGAGATCCGCCTTCTTGTTCAACGCTCCGTCGTACTCTGCGAGCTCCGTGATCCATCGGGCTTGTCTCCGATTCAGCTTCTGCGGCTTCCGGAAGTACTCAAGGTTCTGGTGATCCGTTAGAACCTCGAATGTTTGCTGCGCTCCCATCAACATCTGCCGCCACTCGTCCAGGGCGAGCATGATCGCGAGCATCTCTTTGTCATAGATCTCGTAATTCCGCTCGGTCTCGTTCAATCTGTGTGACTGGAACGCTACAGGGCGCCATTCGCCCTCCTGTTCTTGCTCCAATATCGCTCCCGTCGCTCCATCCGATGCGTCCGCTTCTAGTCGGAATTTCCCGTGATCTGTCGGGAGCGCCAATACTACGTCATCGGCTATCCGGTCCTTCAGCTTCTGGAACGTGTCCTTCTGCTCCTGTCCCCACGAGAACCCCTCCTTCCCGGTCAGCCATGTGAGCGGCTTTGCGACTTCGCTGTATCCCCGGACGAACCTCCGGTAGAAGTTGGTGAACCCCAAGAATGCCTGTGTTTGCTTAAGATTCTTGGGTTCGGGCCATTCCATCACGCCTTTGATCTTGGCGGGATCCATTCTCATCGAGTTGTAGGAGATGATAACTCCCAGATACTCAATCTCGGTGCGTTCGAACTCGCACTTTTCTGGCTTGAGAAAGAGTTTGTGTTTCTGGAGCGTCTCTAACACTCGTTTGTTGATTGCCCGGTGTTCCTCCAAATCCTTGGTGAAGATAAGGATATCGTCTAGGTAGACGATGACTTTTCCCTCGTTGATTAGATCTCTGAGGATGTCGTTCATCATCGTCTGGAAAGTCGCCGGTGAGTTCGTCAGGCCGAAGAACATCACCAAGGGCTCGAATAGGCCCCGATTGGTCCGGAAAGCCGCCTTCCACTCATCTCCCTCCTTGATCCGCACGTTGTTGTACCCCCAGCGTATGTCCAGCTTCGTGAAGTACTTTGCGCCTCGAAGCTTATTGACTAGCTCCGAGATGAGCGGAAGTGGATAACGGTTTTTAATCGTCATCTCGTTGAGCTTCCAATAATCTTGTATGGGCCGCAAACTGCCGTCTTTCTTCTTGATAAAGAAGAATGCCGAGGCCATCGGTGATTTTGATGGCCGGATCCGTCCGCTCTTCAAGTTCTCTTCCAAGAACTCGTTGAGTTTTTCCTGCTCGACTACCGAGAGTGGGTATATCTTGCAATCTACAGCCTTTGATTCTGGCTTCAGTTCGATCGCGTGATCCCATGGTCTTTTCTCTGGTAGCGAGTCGAACGATTCTTTGGCGAAGACTTTGACATAGTCACGGTACTGCTCCGGGATCTTCTCCTCCGTCATCCGCTCCTTCTCACGATCTCCCTCCTGCGCCATGCGTTGCGCCTG